ATATTGAAATTTTGATGTGATGGTATCTGATAAATTATTGTTATTGATATTACTATTACTATTGTTATTATTAATATTACCATTGTTATTATTGAATTTCTTCGGCTATAATTACTAGTGTCTTCTATATTAATGTCATTGTTATTTTCGATTTTATTATTAATGCTACTATTGATAATATTAGTAGCAGTGACATCCTTAATAGATGTACCAAAATTATTAATATCACTATTACTACTAGAAGAAACAGCCTTTAAAAGACTTAAATTTGTTAGATGGTTTACTGTCTGAAACATTATTATTGTTGTTTGTCTGAACATCTTTCGTAAAAACATTTTATTGCTAACAACTTTAGCTGGTGACTATCTTTTGATTTATTTTTCACGATGCAGACCCCGATATAATTTTCACAATCAACAAATGTTCCTGTTATTTAATATTGAAGGTTAAATTTAAGTTGATATTTCTTACAAATAAACGATGGAATGTTCTATTTAATGTCATGTAATGAATGGAAATTAATGATTAATACAAACTAATTTTATTACAAATTGCTCTTATTTGTTGTGTGTGAAAATCATAGGATCATAGTATAAGATGAGAGCCTCACGCATGTCAGTTTTAAATTTTACATATTAATATTAATGCGAATTGATATTTTGTTTTTATGCTTACCGGAAATTTTTATATATATCAAACGATTTGTTCGTTATAGAGAGATAGGAGGGGTATATGGAATAATTGTTGTGGGAATAATAAAGTAACTCTTCATGTTCTCTTATAGTTTATTTATATAAGAAAATATTGATTGAACACACAGTAAATATATATTTTATAATTTTTTATTTTTTTATTAATTATTATTATTTACATGTTTACATTTATTCTAAGAGAGAAAATAAAAAAAATCTTAAATCTTAAAAATCTATATTTCAAATTTTAAATCTATATAGTATATACACTTTTAATTAAATCATAATCATAAATTGTTTCTTTAGAAAATCCATAATCATAAATTGTTTCTTAGAAAATCCATAATCATAAATTGTTTCTTAGAAAATCCATATATTTACAAAATTTCCTTAATTTTATAATTTAAAATAAATTGTTCTTAATTGTTTTTGAATTTTTTTTTTTTTTTAAATTAAAAATTCATCGAATAAATCGTTATTGTTATTTAAAAATAAATCTTGATTTATAAATAATAAATCGTCAGAATTATTGGTGTTATTATCGTTAATATTAATATTATCGAAATTATTATAGCATGGAATTCCAAGTCCATTTTCGTTGAATGATGAATTTGGAAAATTATTTTGTTGTTCACAAATATTTATAAATTGTCGAAGCTCATCTATATTATCGATATTATTATTAACATCAGAAAAGATTTCCGATTCTGAAGATGAAGATGATTGTGGTTGAACGAAAGAATTGATTGAATTTACAAAATTTTGTTGTTCATATAAATTATCAATATCAGGTGGACTACTGCTACTAGAAGAAGATTGATAATCATTTGATGTGGCAGATAATAACATATCTTCTTGACCGAAAGAATTTAAATATTGATTTAAAATATCCTCAGAATTATTAAGATTTGATGTAAAAGATGACGCGTTTAACATATTTTGAATAAGAAGATCATTGTCAAAGAAGTTGTTGAAGAATAAATCGAAATTTGTTGAAATACCAGGCGAAGAATTTGTTGAAGAAGTTGAGAGAGGAGAAAATGATAATAATGGAATGTCGTCGTCGTCGTCGTCGTCGTCATTGTTGTTGATGTTGTTGTTGTTGTTGTTGTTATTGTTGTTGTTGTTGAAATTATCGAAATTATCGAAGGTTAATGAATCAATTGCATTAGCAATATTATTATTATTATTATCGTTATTGTCGATAATAGTAGCGGATGGTTTAGATTTTCCGGTTCCATTTTTATTTCCAAGTCGTTTAACGTTTTTATTAAGACGAGGTTTGCGGGATTTCTTTTTTTGCTCAAAAGAGACAAAATTCCAACGTTCTCTTTTATTAGGTTTGGTTGATTTTGGATTCATTTCGTTGAGACGATTGAATGCTTCCTTTGAAAGTTTTTTATATTCATCTTTAACATATTGTGGCTCACTTTCCCAAGATTTGGAAACCATTGTTGAAATAACGGTCATTGGTAATTTGTAGCCATCAGCTTGTACTGTACCCAGAAAAGCTTTACGATAAATGAGAAAAGCGTTAGGAGATTTTGCAGGCAATTTACCATTAGTTAGTTTAATGATCAATTCACGAATGTCGATCACAGGTGGAAAGGGTGGCTTGATGAATGGATTACTGCCACAAGCAGAAATGGTTTGATTTACTTCCGGATTACTGGTGTCAATGAAAAAAACAGTCCTTTGATTGGAAGAATTGTTATTGTTGCTGGTGTCGTTTGAAGAATTGTTAAAGTAGTTCATTTTTGTTAAGTTTATTTGTTTGATAAAAGGTGTTTTGTTAATTCAATTGATTTTTGAATGGATTTTTCTAGACTGACGAATCTTTGATATTTATACTTTTAATTTTTCAGAGATAAACGAACCAAAGGATTTGCATATTTGTAAATAATATTTTTAGACAATTAAATCAGTCACACAAATTACCTTTTGAATAATCACCATTATTCAATTTAATTACTTTATAAAGAGTTCGCTGGTTTCTTTGAAAGACTGACGAATCTTTGATATTTATACTTTTAATTTTTCAGAGATAAACGAACCAAAGGATTTGCATATTTGTAAATAATATTTTTAGACAATTAAATCAGTCACACAAATTACCTTTTGAATAATCACCATTATTCAATTTAATTACTTTATAAAGAGTTCGCTGGTTTCTTTGAAATCAAAGGAGTTTCTAGCCACAAAATAATTATTAATCAATTATAAACAAACACACCGTAGTTCTTAAGTTATTAATAACTATCCCAATCATCATTCGTTGAATGTTGCATTAGCCACATAATTTTTTAAAGCCACTTTGATAAACAAATTACATTAGAGAAGCGAACAAAACATTCTATTAAAAGTTTTATTATTAATAAGCACAAATTCTAAGTTTATCAAAAATTTGTTGAATCAAATTCAATGCTAAGATTACTAAATTTCATCATCGTTAATTTCAATATCTTGAACAAAAACCAAAGTTTTCTTTTCAAAGAAAAAAAAAACTAAAATTTATTAATACAAATATAGTAATTCATACTTGTTAAATCAATTGCCAATAAATACTTTTTGTTCCAAAATATTCATGTACTTGAAAGTTTCCATGGATTTCTTTTTTTATTAAAAGCGTTTCTTGGAAAGAAACATATGTTTAATAATAATAATTGGATGAGAAAATAGGAAAAAAAAGTTCATCCCATGTAAATAACATTTTTTATCACGCAAAGTGTTCTAAATGCATTGTACAAAGTATTAAGTTTATGTATTCCTGAAAGCAATCATATACGACAATTAAAATAATATTTGAATTCTTCACAATATAATGTTACAATCAAAATTTGAAGAGTACTATCAGGTCTCTATCAGCGGTGTGACCTTTGAATATAACAATATCACACTGATAATGAAAATCAATGTAAAATAAAATTCGCCATTGCTGTTTAAACATTGGCTCGCTTTATCCATGAATATTTTTGACAAGATAATTAATTACTCTACTACAGAAAGATGCAAGTAAACTAAAAAAGTCACATAATTTGTAAAAATTAACTCCATGAACTCTATTTCATCGAAGATAAAGTTCCTAAGACAAGTTTTTTCAATTTTGAAACCTAACAAAAACATTAAACTCATGGACATGTAAATGGTTTGATTAAAAAATACGTTTTTTCCAAAAGTATGTGTTATTTGGTTGAACCGTACAAATATAAAATGTCATTTGCTCGCAAACTGTTGATAATTATGCAAAATATGATTGAAATAGAGATTTACCTTAAAAAAATTTATAAAAAATATATTAGACCCTTTAACTTCGACTATATAAAAAATAATTTCCAATTCTTTCTAGTTGATTGCTCACATGGGTATTTCGTTTTTTTTTTTTTGCAGTCAAATATACAACCCTTTTTCAATTACACAAAATTACGAATTTTAAAAAGAAATCTTTTATTTGCGTTAAATTATAAATTAAAAATAAGTAATAAAATGAAACAATCTCTTATTTTGTTATTGTTATTAACGATTTAACAATTGATTGATGATATTTTGAAGCTGGGCTGCTATAAGAATTCTTGTTTGTATATCCAAATTATTATTATTGTCTCCAAAGAAATTATTATCGGTAACAGAATTTTGATGAGGATTGAATTGATGATTCCGGCCAAAGAAATTATTGTAATTATTGTTTTGCGCATCCAAATTATTATTATTGTCTCCAAAGAAATTATTATCGGTAACAGAATTTTGATGAGGATTGAGTTGATGATTCTGGCCAAAGAAATTATTGTAATTATTGTTTTGCGCATCCAAATTATTATTATTGTCTCCAAAGAAACTATTATCGGTGACAGCGTTTTGACGAGGATTGAATCGATGATGATTCTGCCCAAAGAGATTACTGTCGACAGAATTTTGATGCTGAATATTTTGACCAATAAAATTATTAATAGCTGAGCCATGATGGTTGGCCAGATTGATACGAGTATCAACTATGGGACTAATTACATGGTCATCTAACACTAAATAATTATTGTTGTCGACGACGCCTACTAGATTACCGTCAATCGGATTACTATTGACAGAAGCGTATTGAGGAATAATGTTTGATTGTCCATTAGAAGGAGGAGTAGAATAACCATTATTAATACGGTTATCAAGATTAGGGTTTTGATTATTGTTATTATTATGACCTTGGTGATTCATTGATCGGCTAGTTTCTTTTCTTCCGTTGGTTATACTGATTAATTGTTTAAAAATTTTAAAGTGAACTGGGAAAAAATTTCAGATTTTTAATATTACCATTATATATAGGAATAATTTAAAATAACAATATAAAAAAAATTTTTTTTCCACAAATTAGCATGGTGGCGCATTTCCAAATAAATAAATACATCAATTTATTTGTAATGAAATTTTTTATTTTAAATTTTTTTATCCTTAATAATAATTACTACTTTTTTTAAAACTCTTGTATAGTTGGCTCGGTCTAAAGACCTCCTAAGTTATGCATAAATTTTAAAAGTATAGAAGTCACTTTCTGTCCTATCTTTTAAAAAAAAGAATGTTATTAGTTGATAGAATAGGTCTTTAGTTTTAATGTAATAATGAGATATTCTCAAAAAAATCATTTGTTGTAGAGT